CAGACCCCGGGATGTAGTCAAGTTTAGTGAACCTTATTAATAAATCTCGGTGTCGTGCCTTGTGTGATTGTTTGGTTCTCAGTAGATCAACTAATGCCTCAGATTTATTCTAACCTGGTGAAATCCGCGGAACAAAATTCAAGTCCTAGACTTGACATGAGTGGTCACATTTTTCTGGATTTATTCCATGCTTTTCAGCTCTATTCTTTCAGCGGGTTTACGTGTTCGTCAACTACTACTCCCTCCATACATCTATATAGGGCCTAATGCCTTTTTCGAGACTGCCTTTGATTATTGATAAAATTATAGTATATGAGATGTATAATGTAAAAATTATATCATCGAAAGCTCCTTTCACGCATGAATTTGATGGTATGCTTATGTAAGTTGCATGTTATATTATTGCTTTAATATTTGATCGAAGTTGGCATCGGAAAACGCATAAAACCCTATATACTTGAATAGAGGGAGTAGACGTCTTTGGCAAATAAAGTCATCTGTCGGCTCTGAAGTACGTGAGCTCTACGTAAGTGTTTCTCAAGAAAAATAAATAGAGGGTAATCCCTGTGGCAAGTGACAAACTTGTGGGAAAAGGTGGAATTAACTAAATGAGAAATTGAAAATCAAGTAGTATGAACAGAATGGTATAGTACAACTCTTTATGGACTGAAAAAGTAGCATGGGTTGATAACTAGTACTCCCTCCGTCCCGAAATACTTGTTGGAGAAATTGATGTTTCTAGATGTATTTTAGTTCTAGATACATTTATTTTTATGCATTTTTTCGACAAGTATTTTCGGACGGAGGAAGTATGAGCTAATTTTGCGTAATCCAAACAGATTGACAACACTCAATCATACATGGCACTCAGTAGAGGAGTTAGTATGGATTTAGTGCTTGGGATGACGACCTGCATCGGAATCGTCACAGGAGGAGGGATAACGACAAGATGTCACCGAACAAGGAGGTTGTCATCGTGCGTGGCCGACGATGAGCTCAGCGGGTCCAGCCGGTATCTAAAGAATTGTTGATGGATGGTATTGTGGAACGTGTGCGTCATTTTGTGAGACTCAAAGTTCAGCATCCCCTCGAGCTCAAAGCTGAACTCCGCCGTCGTTGGCGTCTCGTCCGCCTTACTTGCGAGCACTAGGAACAGAAAGGTAAATCCATCACCGTTGTCGGGGCATAATTTGAGGTACCATGTGCACCCCCCTATCGCGAAGCGCGTGGAGTAGACACTTTCCATGTGGCGGAGCGCGGCCTTAAGCTTGGAGAAGCTGCCGATGGCGAGCGTGTGGGACCCGGCCATGGCGTCCATGGCCGCAAGCTCCTTGGATGCAGACAAGCTGCGCTTTGCTGGCTGCTTCGTAGTCATGGTGCACCTGATGGTAAAGCCGCCGTCGCGGACACACGACGATGCCTCCAGCTTCCTCCTTGACACTAACAACATCGAGTAGTCCGCGTAAGGCGTCGACCCCGGCAGGAAGTTGCCATCTTGGAAGACGGTGTGCTCGCCGGTCTTGTCAAGGATTTCGATTCCTATGGAGATGTCTCTGTGGAGGCCCGAGTCTATGAGACTTCCCTGGGACACGTAGTCGATTTCAACTGCGATAATGAAGCTGTCCGCTAGGCCCAGCTCGTTGAGACGATCCGGGTGCACTATGAGGTTCCAGTGGAGATCGCGGAAGACGATGGTGTCGAATGTCCGCGGGCGAAGCAGCCTGGAGTAGCTGTGGATTCGAGTTGTCGTCACGACCGGCGTCGAGCGGCTGGCGGTGGCGCCCATTGACGAGAACGTCCAAGCCTCTCCGCGCGAGCTCAGACCTGCGCTAGCTATGTCCCCGCGCTGGCCTGGACGGTATATATGTCCAACTCGCCCGCCGTTTATCCGCGGGTTGGCCAACCGGTGTATATGTTGTCCCGCCGGTGTCCTCTCTTCTTACTCTTCCTGCTAATACTCGGTCTTCGTTTGAAAGTTTTGGTGTCCTACTCGTGACAGATTCATGTGTAAGATAAGATCACGCCCTTGTCCCTTAAAGAAAATCTGTATTAGAAAGACGGGAGTAGTTTTTTGCATAGAAATATACATGCCATTTGCTATTTTTTTAACACAGTACAGACGCAAGCGCTCATACATATGCGCATACACTCACCTTTATGAACGCATACCCTACCCCATGAGCACCTTCGAGGGACTGAGCCGGCATATCATTTGAGATTTACGAAGTCATCGTAGGCGTCTCATCGTCGACGGGAACGTCTCCTCCCACTGAAAACGCATCGCCAAATATCCTGAAATAAATCCAGGAATAATGCGAGCACCAGAACTTGAAACCTGGTGGGCTGGAAATACCACTGTCTTTCTAGCCATCCAACCACAGGTTGGTTCGCTACACGTCGTCTGCTTATCAAGCGTGACATCTAGAGTGAGTACGTTGGACATGAAATACTCGTAATATTACTATAAGCGTACGGCCATCACTTTCGTCCTTTTTTTAAAAAAAAACACCTGCAATTTTATTCATACTCATAACAATTACTGGTACACTAATTCGGATCTAAAATCCAAGAAAATACAAAGTAACTTCGATGACTAAGAATTACAATCAAATCTCTTGAAAACACCTTCTTCGATGCATCAATCCCTGTTAAAATAAATACTCCAAAGACTTCGGTAAAAAAGCTGCAATTGGAGTGGAGCAACGATGTTGTCAGTCTTTCACCCACACGAACATTATCAATAATGGTTTTTGAAAGCACCTTGAGTCGCCCATCCAAAAAATGGGAAGCTTTGATTGGTAAACGTACTTGGGCCGGTGATGATCTCCTAGAAGTGCAGGACGTCGGATCACAAAATCTTCACCATTATGTCAATGAAACACTTCAACTTCACAAGGAATCAAACCAACAGAAAAAGTTTCACACACCAACCTAAACTCATCAGATCCAAATAATCGGATCCGCGAAGGCAGAAAACTCTCTAACCTCATGGTATCGCCAAAAAAACGAGAGTAAATTTATTCTCACAAAATACAATGATCAATAGACGGTGACGGAGACCGTAGTACCTTGAAGATGCGAGGTCCCCCACCTCTAAGCGCCAAGATGGCAGCCGGAGGTTAGGGGACCAAAAAATTCCTAGCGGTGGCGGCGCTGCAAACCCTCGCTCGTTCGTACCCCCTGCTGTTGGCCCTCTGCTGGTATACCGACCGAGCGGCGGCCCATCACTTTCGTCTTTGACTGGTACTTACAAATACAAAGCAAGGTAAAGAGCTATCACCCAGCAAAACAATAACCCATTAGGCAACTCACCAGAGCTAATCCACACCACCAGAACACCACCACATTCAGCAGCAACCCTCCGTTACTAAATATAGAAACAGTAGCATGTTGAGAGGCAGGCATATACTCCCTCTGTTTCTGAACATAAGTACCTTTATAGATATTTCAGTACGGACTATATACAGATGTATATATACATATTTTAGAGTGTAGATTCACCCATTTTGCTATGTATGTAGTCCATAATGGAATCTTTAAAAGGTCTTAGGGAGTATAACCTAAAAACAGAGCGGGGCAGAATAACACTGTTGAGACATCTAAGATTATTTGGCAAGCCAAAGTGAACAGCTGCCCCAAATTCTGGCATCAACGTAGATGATAACCATGACATCCGGTTGTTAAGTAGAGCCTAACCATCCACAAACACAAGCCATGATCATTAACAGAGATCATATCAGTAAGCCTCAACATGGCAACCATGCGCCAGACCAAATGCACTAGATGCACGATGGCCAGAGAGCAGAGCAGACGGAGGAGAAAGAGGTGACCAGGGACTCGTCTAGTAGTGATAGATGAGACAGTCGTGGGAGGCGACGCCGAGGTTACAGGGCGTCAACCCCGCTATCTTGTTGGGACCGGAAGTAAGGTGGCACACCACTGTCACTATCATGCTTCACATCTGAAGTACTAAGCATGCATCAAGTCAACAACAGTTGATCACATGACAAATCATATAATGCCGTGACAAATCATATAATGTTGATCACATGACAAATTCTTTCCAGGTGACAGCGACATCGCCCTACATAGAAGGGTGTGCAGGGCGGCGACGCTGGTGAGGTTAGGCACCTTCTGCCCTGCACGTACGACACGGTCTCTTGTTCCCCTGCATGAGGAAACATCATCAGGAAAGAAGAGCAAATCGGACTAGAATAAGAGCATCAAGAAAAAAATATAAGGTGTTCTCAGAATGTTGTAAACTAAGCGAGTATTAAAAAATGTGCCCCTCAATGAGATACAAAGGTTTGCCATTCCGAAATTGAGCGATTACAAAGTTAATGAGACGAGAGCTCACGTACTTGTGGGAAAAGGTGGAATTAACTAATGTGACAAACTTGTGTCGATCGTGTCGTATCGTACTCTCGTCGCATGCTCTGTACGGCGGGAGCTATAAGGGATACACTATACGTCTATACACATGTTTGCTAACGAGAAATGCTATAAAATGGCTCAGTCAATTGAACGAAAATAGTCGCCTGTAGAAGCTCCAACTCGCCTGCCGTATGTCCGATCCGCACACCGGCCGGTCGGTGTATACGTAGTCCCGCACGTCGGAGTCCTCTCTTCTTACTTTACTTGCCGGTCGGTGTATACGTATGTCCCGCTCGTAAGTTGGGTGTCGCAAACTTATACAATTCCTTATCGACCACCGCCGATCGGATCTTTGATCGTATCCCTCGCCACACGAAGCAACGGACGACCTGCGGCACGGTCGACATGGACAAGCTGTGCGCGGACGCGCTCGCCGACATCCTCCGCCACCTCCCGCCACGCAACCTCGCCGCCTCCCGCTGCGTCTGCACGGCGTGGCGCGCTGCCGTCGACGGCCACCGCCTGCTGCGCGCGGACCTGCTCCCGCTCTCGCTTGACGCCGTCATCTTCACGACGGGCGACCCAAGCGACCCACTCCTCTTCTGCCGCCCCACCACGGGGCGCAGCATCATCACCAGGTTTGACTACATCGACGCCGACATGGAGCCGTGGTACGTGTGGTCTCCCTTGGACTGCTGCAACGGCTTGCTCCTTTTTGATGACCACGTGGTCAACCCCGCGACGCGGCAGTCCGTGCGGTTCCCCACGTACCCGCCGCCGTGCGCGGTGCCGGGCTGCCCAAGCTGTAAAGACATCGAGCGTAACCAGTACCTCGTCTATGATCCTACCGTGTCGTCGCACTACGGGGTGGTCTTGATCCCTCATATTCCCCGCGAGCTTTCCACAGGGCACATCGCAAAACATGCATGCGGTCATGGAGCCGACATCTTGGCAATGGAGTGGCCACCGTCGCCATTCATTATCGACGTCTTCTCATCAAAATCCGGATGCTGGAAGGAAAAGCCATACACGCGAGAAGGAGAAGCCGCGGGAACCGTTGCTGACCTGAAAACTGATCATGGCGCCTTTCTTTACCACTCTGCATATTGGCACGGAGCACTCTACGTTCGTTCCGAAGAAGGTTTTATGTTGAGGTATACCCTAACTGCTCACACCTCATACACCATATATATAGGATTTATTTTTATTATTTTCATTGAGGGAGATAATTTGGGTTCATAATATTTATTTTAAGAGGTGATTTTATTTATTCATTTCTGCAGAATAAACTTGTTGAATGATAAGTACCGGGTAATTAAGCTGCCGAAAGAAAGGGAGGGAGAACCTTATATAGGGAAATCAGAGAAAGGGGTGTACTGTACATTGATCCATCAACGATGCACATGTGAAGTTTGGTTCCTAGATGAATCGTGTGGCCAGATGCATTGGGTGCTGAGAAATGAAATCAACCTTGAGCTTGCCGTGAGAGAATATTCTTGGAATCATGTTCATCGCGAACCATGGACCTTACTTGATCCAATGTGTATGTCAAAGAATATAGCCAACATTATGCGCCAAGATGACGAGAATTGCACTCATCTAGTGAAGGATGTTTTTAGTTGGGACTCAGATGATGAGAATGCTATTGACACAAAGGGCTGGCCTAGAGCACACGGACGTAACTCTCATTTGTTTGTGTGTTTTGGATTTCATCCTTATAAGGAAATTGTCTTGTTTTGTGATGACCACAGTACAATAACAGCCTACCATTTGAATAGCTCAAAGATCCGTTATTTGGGAGAAGTGGAAAGCTTCTACAACGACATAAGGGAGTGGTTTCCATATGCCGCATGTTGGGTGAGGGATCTACCTGAGAGCTGACATATGTGAAATTTGTATTGCAACTGATCCAACGCAGTTCTGCTGTATTTGTATCCTTTCTCTCTCACGCATAATCTTGGTGATCATGTCCAATGTACATAAAAAAATATTGTGTATGCATTAGGTTTCACTAGGACAACCTTGACTAGCAATTACTATTCATTGTTATTAGTTTCTTAATTTCAATGTGCTTATCAGTTGTTATAATTTTATATCACAAAATTTGCATACTACTTGTTGGTCCAAGATTTGAACTCAGAGAAGTGAGTACTTCTTCTACACCTTTATCATAAGGGGCTAACTAAATCTTAGTCGACTGAACTCTTTTTTTTTTTTTTACAAAAGAGAGCATTCTCTTCGATTTCCGTTAAAAGAAATCACCATGTCTTACTATAGAGCATGTTAGAATAAATCCGAGGCATACCGTCGATCATCCGAGGACCAAGCAATCACACAAGCACGACACCGAGATTTGTTAACGAGGTTCACCGATATGGCTACATCCCCGGGGCCTGACTATGGGCCCTCCTCCCCATGACACCGCTACAATACCGCATCAGGTCGCCCTAGACGCCGGCACATGCCGCCGGCTTCCCCTGCGTTCATGTGCTATTATGTTGGCATAGGTTACATCGTATGTCTACCCCCGCTATATATGAGAGGCCTAGGATACAAGTGTCCTACTTGGACACGACTTCATATCCTATCTAAACACAATACAACTACAAGTCCAACTGTAACCTACCTTGTATAAAATATTCGACACAACTCCGACAAACTCCACCTTGGCGAATATTCTCCACCACCTTGAATTCGTCAATGCGTCAAACTTCCATATACATTGGACTTGAGCTTATCCCATGAGAACCGCTGCTACTCCAAAGACTCCATATAACTCCACATGCAACTTGTAGTCCCTCCTTTTTTTGACCACAGTCAACACTCGAGCAAAATAAATTTCCTTGTTACTCTAGTTTGTGCTCCCAACTTCCACAGTATCCGTCCAACGCAATCACACACTGATCACTGACCTACGTGAAAGTGAACAACTCACATATTGGGTG